TGAGTAGAAACTATCTTTCAAAATAAATCATAGCTTGTTTGGGGAGCAAGAAGGAAAGAGTCTTGTATTCTTAAGGTCCAAAATGAACTGCAGATACTTTAGCACAGCCACATAAGAAACCAAGAATATAGAACTGTCCTCAAATAAAGATTGATTTCTGATGGTTACTGTTCATTAATGCACATTAATATCATGCTTTAGAAATTAATCTAGTAAACAGACTTCTGTGTTTTGAGACTGTTGATTACATGATGCTGCTGTCTCTATGCTGTAACTGTAAATGTACAGATGGTCTCTGAGCTGTAAATGAATAGTTGAAAGAAGGCAGCACATAGAAGCACACAGAAGATTAGGAACCTGTGTACTGGGGCTGGCTGGGAAGGAGTTAGTGTTATTCATTGCAGACTGTGTGGTGCAGTGTTTTAGATTTGTGACTAGAACAGTGTTGATAATACACCAGTATTTCACTGTTGCTGATTAGTCGTTGCAACATGTCGATGCTTCTTTTTCTCTCATTCTGCTCCCCAAAGTGAATAGGCTTCATGGCTTGGGGCAAGAGATTGAGGGAGGACGCAGCCATGACAGCTGACCTGATTTGGCTGAAGGGATATTCCACACCATATAATGTCATACAAATGGGGAGATTTTGGGTTTCAGGGTAGCTGTCACTCAAAGAGTAGGTGGACATTGGTCTGCTTGTGGGAGATAGTGAGTACCTTTGCATCCTTTTTTTTTTTTTTTTTTTTCTCTTTCCTTCATTTCTTAAGCTATCTTATTCTTGACCAATGAGTTTTCTCACTTTTGTTCTTCCTATTTTCTTCCCAGTCCTGTTGCACATGGGGCTTAGTGACTGACAAGCTGTGTGGGTGCTTGGCTGCTAGCTGGGATCAATACACCACAAACTGATAGGCCAATATGGACAATCTCCCTTTAAATGTGTGTTTACTAAGACCTCTATTTTACATAATGCAGTGAACAAGAAAAGAAGCATTTGAAAGAAGCAAGAGGGCCTAAATAGGCATCAAGGAAGCATTCATGCTTTACAGTAGGTACTTAGGAAGTTCATCATGCCTTTGTCCTTTCTTTAGTTTTCTGTCTCTCATAGTATATTTATGCTATTTTTAAAAATCTGTTTTATTTTTTTCTACAACATAATAGTAAAAATTAAAGGATTAGTATCAATTCCGACAAAAGCACTACTTAGTTTTAGATAAAAGAGAGAATGACATAAAAAATTCCTACCAGACATACATATAGGTATTTTCATGCTTATTTTGTCTCTAAAGTACCCAATACCCAGGCATGTGTATTCCATTCTATGTTAGTGAAGTATTCTGAAAACAAGAAATTCAGCATTTTCTATTAATCCATGGCAAACCATATTTATTTATCTATCTATTTATTTATTTATTTCCCCATTACTACTCTTCCTATGGACTGAAGCATTTGTCAATGCTCCTAGCTACTATTTCCACTACTTTTAAAACAATTGCAGTTGTTAGGAAATACCTTCTTTAACAGATTATGATTTCCAAAATATTTTTTTTATCTCACTCAAACAACTCAAACTTCAACATCTTCTTTTCCCTTCCTGACACCCCTCAATACCAGCCACTATAGGCTTCTGGAGTAAAAACTAAACACACTATTTTTAGCTTACAACATAATTTTTGCAAGAGTTTTCAAGAGAATGAAAAATGAGATTTCAAAATTAAACTGGTAGCTCAGAGGTGCATCACAGTAATCTTTAAAGCTGTAATAGAGGTTTTAGTGCAAAAGGAAATTTAATAATGTATAAAATATAATTGACATGTTCATTGGAAAACATCAGTACTAGTGATAAATAAATATTTTTTTTCATATTTCCTGTTTTGTACTGGTACTTTTTGAAAGTAGGAAATCTAAGTTCTCTAAGAATAAAAATAATAATATTTTCTTTCTCATCTCCATAGAGTGTTCATTTCTAAGCTCTGCTTTTTCACCCCTGTTGGAGTTAATTTTTATAGCAAATAAAAGGATACACAAACCAAAAAAAGACAATCTTTTCTTCATAATGAGAACACACACAAGAATACCATATGTTATATTGCATAGAGCTAATTGACTCAGGCACTGTAATGAGTGTGTTATAAAGTATAAAATATTGATTATTTTAAAAAAAATAATTTAAATGTTATTTAGTCTAAACAAAAAGCAAAAAGTAACAACCAGGGTAAAAAGAGACAAATAGATATTTTTAACTTTGTGATTATGATAGTAAAATATTGCGTGAAAATTGTTTCAATGAAATTAATCTTTAATTTTACATGACATAATAACTTCTGGAAAGTTGTTTTATGAACAGCAAGTTAAGGGAAGCCCATTTTCTTGAGAGATAATGCCCCATGCTTCTCCACCCTTCCCAAAAATCTTAGCTGCTTGATGGTGTGACCATAGAAATGAAAACATTTCTTAAGTTCATAAGTCTTGAGTGATTTTTTTTTCCACAGTTGTTTTTGTGCCAGTATAAATGTAGTAGTTGATTCTGTGTCTGTAGCAGCTATAACAGGGAAGGGAACCACTAAATATTTTATTTAGTCAATGTCTTACTTTTACGCAAAGAAAAGAAAGAAAATCCAGTCAAAATAGGAAAGAAGCACAGAATACAAAACTTAATTAAAATTCATCAATCTCTTTACTATTAACAACTCTGGATGAACGTGACACTTTCGCTCTTCTCTGTGCCTGTTTATGAAGAAATTAGTGGCCACATGGCTGGTTATTTGTTGTTGGATTAGGCATAAATTACAACAGATATTAATCTTAATGTGAAACCTTAGACAATTCTATGAATTTAAGAGTTTAAATAAAGTGAAATAAAGTCAAGGATATCTGCTCTGCATAATTAATCTGTCATTCAATTCAAAGGTTTGAAACAGTTTATGTTATTCTGCAATATTTTCTCATGGATTCACCAAGCTCAAGAAACTGAGACCATTAGAATTAAATATCCTGAGAGAGAAAACATGACTAGCAGACTAATATTATAAAATAAAGTATACTAACTTAATTAGACAGTGAAAGGTAAGGTTACAATTTGATAATAAAGTATGAAGAAGCTGTTACGTGGTAACTTATATAATGGAATTAGTGCTGCTTAGAGGTGCATGTTAATTCATTTTTGGCATGGGAATTTAGAGGCAGGGAGAAATGAAATCAGATCAGAGAGGCAAGCTCTTTCAGAAATGTAAAAAATGAAAAGGTCAAAGATGTAAATGAATTCTGAAATAAATGGAAGTTAGTTTCTTGTCCTATGGGGAAGTTAATAGTGTAGGCTTGTCTCCTTTCGCTTCAATTTCTGCAAGAGTACATCTGTGTCTTATTAGGGCCTTGTGAAGATTGCTAATTTTTAGGGACTTCTGAGTAGAAAAATTGTAACAGGGCACATTATTGTCCCTTCCTGTTCTTAAAAGGAAGCACATGGGGGACACAATCCAAAGATATATGAAATAGTTCTCTGTGTGAATTCTCTTCAGGGTGCAAATTGATTCTGAAGGTTTTGGTTTTGGTTTTTTTCCTGCATCTTTCACTGATGTGTGGATATGTGTGTGTCTGACTTATTATGCTAAGTAAATTAAGTACTGTGGTATTATCCAAATGTAAATCTCAAAAATCACTAACTGACATGCAAGTCTTCCAAATACGAGATGAAAACATTATATATCTTTAAAGTTCCACTTTAAAGTCCACTTTACAATAATAATAATTATTATTATTAATCCACTTTATCTTGCACTGTAGATTGAATTCACAGTTAAATTTAATATTCAACAAACTCTAGGGTGAGGGATGTGACTTCATCTGTGTGAAAGTTTCTTTTCTAAGCTAGTTAGCTGCCCGAGCTCTTTTAAAGTTGACAGAGAGAAGTGACAAATTGAAATATCAAATATTTATATGAGTCATATATATTAATTTTAAGATTAAATAAGTTGTTCTTTGGATGTACTGATTGCTTTCTAGTGACTGGAGTTGGGGCCTGATGAACTAGATGAGATTGGACATCAAATTTTTAAGTGAATGAATCTAATGGTGAATTTCCATGTTTGAAATTCCTTAACAAAAACCCTATAAGCATTTGTTAAGGAAGCTGTATACCTTTATTTTTTTTCTTGACTAAAAAAGAAAAAAAGGTGCCAAGGGGAAGAGGTTGGATTTTTGGTGATGTTGGGGTTTGGTCTTTCCGAAAGTCAAACAAATCTCATATTACCTTTTGATGAATGATTATTGTGGGCCAGTATTGGTACTGTGTGACAGTACTCAACAATGAAGAATATGAAAATTATTCTAGAAGTATTGCTAATCAGGACAGTAAGAAAATAAAATAAAATTTGTAAGGTACTTCTGGAAAGTCATTAATTCCCAGTAAGATCTGCTTCCTTGCTGTAGAATAATGTATTAAAAATGCTGACAGTAATTTTCCTGGCACTGTCTTTTTGCACATTTGCTCTTACTGCACATATTATTAAGTCTCTTGTCCGTCAATTCTAATTTAACCTTTCTCACTTTTTGGTTTGAGCCACAGCTCCTTGTTCTGATGTCTTCTGAGACTAACATCTTCTTTCATTTATGTAGTTACCCTGAAGGTATTTGATTAATGCAATTCACTGATTGTAACACCTTGTGTACGTACCACATTGCCTTTGTATTGACCTAATTCCACTCCAGTGTTTCATAACTGTTCGTGCTGGAATTTCACAAAAGAAAACAGAATAACTGCTTAGTTATCTCAGAAATTATCAACATTGTAACACAAAATCTCATAATAACTCTTTTCTACATAGACAAGTGCATGACGTTAATTGTGTGAAAATGTAGTTAATTTTTCAAGGATCAAATGAGTACTGCTCATCACTCAGTGGGCCTTTTCTCAAAAGCAGAGCTTTCTGACAATAGTGGCTGCTGTGTGAATTGTGTTCTCTGAGGCTTTTGTTAATCTTTTGCAATTTTTTCTTCTCTTTTAGCTGATGGATGCACTGACTGGTCTGTGGATTACAAGAAATATCAAGTACTAGTGGGAGAACCTGTTCGTATAAAGTGTGCGCTCTTTTATGGATACATTAGAGCTAATTACTCCCTAGCCCAAAGTGCTGGACTTAGTTTGATGTGGTACAAAAGCTCTGGACCTGGAGATTTTGAGGAACCTATAGCTTTTGATGGAACTAGAATGAGCAAAGAAGAAGACTCCATTTGGTTCCGACCAACAGTGTTACAAGACAGCGGACTCTATGCATGTGTTATAAGGTACTGTATTTTAATATACTGCATTTTAATTAACCAGATATGAAATATTATTCTAAAACATAAGACTTCTGTGCTAAAGAATCATGTTTTCTCACAGTATTCCTTTTTCTTCTTCTCCTGGCACTCCCTTTCTGAAGTGTTTCATGCTTAAGTAGAAGTTATTGTTGAATGTCTTGGAATATTTTACTTTTTTTTTGTATAAATAGATAATTTATAACAAAATTTAAAAGATATCAGATGATTGGGACTAGATGCATAAGTCATGTGTTCCTGCTTCTCATTCTGGGTTAACTGTTACAATGACTAATCCAGAAAAAAAGGTTCTTTTTCAAATTCACATTTCTATAGGTTTTTTAATGTAATGGCTTCATTTAATTATTTTTGGTTTTTTTATGTTAAAAAACCCCAACAACCTCTATTTGATGTAAAACAGTTGCATCAAAGAAAAAGAAAGGTGAAATTTCAGCTTTTTTACAGACATGCATCCTCTAGAATGATATCTGGCTTAACCTGCTAATAGAGATAAGCTCCAATGGTATTTATCCTGATGCATCAAGCTTTATCAACATAACTTGGAATAGATGCTGCTTCCTGCTTTCCAAAAGAGGTGTTCAGCTTCTTCCTGCATCTTTAAAATGGTTTGCACTGAAATATTGTTTCCAGTCTTTTGCATTAAAATATAACATATAGGCACTTTCATATTTCTCACAGCCTTATACTAGGTTTTCACTAAATGTCTAATGTATGATCAAGATGGTTATTAGTAGAAGACACAATCCTCATTTCAGTAACAGGAATGTATTCTGTTATGCAAGTTTTGTGCATACAGTCGAAGATTACTTTCAAATAGTTTTGAATGTCCATTTAGAATCAACTTAAAAACGTAATAGTTTATGTTCCCAAGATAAGCATGTATTAGATATTTTAATCTGAAATAAATACATTTAATTACTCAGAAATATATTTTCCTTTTTTCCCTCCTTCCTTCAGATTCTTAAGCTGTAAAGTGATCATCTGACAGAAAAATATAAAAGGTTGAAGTGACACCATCAGGCAAAATTATTTACTCCATCTGTACTTCCAAAGTTATTTCTACAAAAAAATCTAGAAAAAAACACTTGTATCACATAGCTGTTTACTGCTTTTTACTGCTCCTTCTTCTTGTCACTGAAATCAGAGTACTCAACCTTACTGTCACTTCATGCTTGTATATTAGTACAATATACCAAAGAATCTGGAGAAAAATTAGTGAGCAAGAGCTGTAATTTATTTCAAGGAGCAGAGTGAAGATTGCAGGGATGGGATTTAGGATTTTTTTTTTACAGATTTGAAGTTTTTGTTTATTTTAAACACAAGAGCCTTAAACACCTCCAGAATGATAGTATAAGCTCTTTTAGTTTTGAAAACCCATTTGAAAACTCAGTTAAAAGGCTTAAAATTACCTAGTAGCAAATGTTCTGTGTGATGCTTGCAATAAGTTGAACAGGAGAGCATGGAGCAGAGATGTACTTGTGAGGTAAAGGGCAAAAGTAGAAACATGGTTTGAATAAATAGCTCTGCCAAGTTTTTATTTCAAACTTACTTAAAGGGGTGTGACAGTATAATGCTTACTATTTTCTTTGCTTAGAAGCTTCTTGCTTCACAGTTCTGTGTCTTTGCTGCCTGCGGCTACAGTAAGGAAAATAAATATATCTATTGCACTGGGTGTTTAGAGAACAGCATGCTAGAACAAAACTGTATGGCACTAAATGAACAATGTTAAAAGGGTAGTTAGTGGACCAGACTAATTTCTACAGTGACTATAATACAGTATTTGAGTAGAAACTCAGTTTTCTACAGTAATTGAGTAGAAACATGCACATTTTCAGTGAAAGTAACAGTGATACTAATGAAGGCTGCCTCTTTTTCCTTCAGAAGCACAGAAACAACCTTCATCTTTATTTACTACTGTTCACAGTACTCTCATTATTTAATTTCTTATCCCTGCCTTTTCTTCCTATGGCAAGATGTCTGCCATAAAAGAATTGAGAAAATCAAGACTAAGCCTTATTATCAAGACAGTGCTGCACACCCACAGATAAAGAAGAGGAGATACACGGCTAGAAATAGCTTTCAGTTTACTACCATCAGTACAAGAATTATAAGCTGATTGGTAGAAAATGTATGGATGTACACCCTCCTTTCATGGAATAAAATAATTTAGTCTGTTGCAGGTACAGTACTGTAGCATTCCGCTGCAACCTCTGTGTCCTGCAATTTTAAGGAAGCAGAGATGTAAAACAGTAAGTTTTCACATGGATGTCACATCACATGGTTGCTTGTTTTTTTTAATCACATATGGGCAGTGAATATAACTATATAAGCTGCACAAGGAGTTAATGTAAATATTCAAAAGGCAATGTCTGAAGCATTTGAATTATTTGAATCACTCTTACAGGTCTTTCTACAGAAAACAATAACTCTGATAGACTCTTGAAGCAGTATGCAAGTTCAGGAGAACATTTATTGCACATAGGAGGTGGACTTTCCTTGGTCCTCTTCTTTGTGTTGATTTGATTTGTAGAGAGTAGGTGAGGCAATTGACTGTGACTTCATTATTCCTACACTCCATTTGTAAGCTTGGCTGAGCTTTTTCTAAGTTCTTTTATTTTTCTATAAAAGTGTTTGTTGACCATTATAAGGAATCTGTCTCTCATGGTGATCAAGGTTTGATCTATCTCCTTTTCAAATGTAAGCTTGGTAGACTAGCCAGACATCCACGAAATATTTCACTGCAGCCTAGAGTTGCCTTGGTAAGTAGAAAAAGCCTTCAGGCTAACATTAAGAATTTGTACAGATCGGGTTTCTGAAGCTTAGATTAAGTGTCCTGTACAGATGGAAAGTACAGTTGCTAGTTCCTAGAAATAAATGACATCTGTGCTTTTCTTGAAGTTAATGCTTGTTGGAAGTCAGGTGACTGAAATCTACTAATTGCCCTCTACTTGTGCCTTCTGACACTGCAGGAGGTCACATGTCTGACTTGAGCATCTTTATTGTACATGGTAAATACCTTTCATGTGCATTAGGACAAAACAAATGCCTAATACTAAAGAGATAAGCGGATAACCATAGAGTACTTATAATTGTGAAATTGATATAAGCTATGCAATAATGCTAAAGTCCAGTGTGTTTTTGCTATTTGCTTGGCTTGATGAGACTTTTACACTGAAAAGCAAACAAGCAGGCATGGTGGTGAGTAGATAAAGGAGCAATATGACTTTTGCAGTTGGTAGAGTTAGGATTTTAAATGAGGAGACTGAAAACTAAAGAGGTTTTACACAAGACTTCATTAAAGTATATATTAATTGATACTGAGGAGAAAATAAGTAATGCCTGTACTTACACAGAATAGAGGAAGGATGTTATTATTAGAAAAGAAGAAGAAACTGCAGTATTTGTCTGAGCAGAAGACATTGTTAATATCACATTTTAACAATGATGAACTTACAGGAATGGCACAGACAATGTTTGAGGAGAGCATTATTTGAAGAAAAGCCTTCTATATGATACCGTTTCATTTACTACTGATTCTTTTGATGTTGAGATATTTGCTAAAATACAGCAATGTAACAAATAAATTTGAGTGTTGCTTCCACTATTTTATTACAGATTTTTTTGTAAAAGTACTTTTAACAAACCAGTTTCATTTGCCCATTGATTGTTGAGGTTATTCTTTTAATAACTAAATTAATAATTCTGACTAAAAAAGTAACACTTTAGATCTCATTTCAGTATAATAGTAAAATATTACTATGATGTTTGTTTTTGCAGCTGTAATTTAAGAGGGAAAATTCCTAACACGTAGCCAGGTTGCATTAATATGTTTCTGGTAAGAAAAACAGTTTCTCTTTTCTTAAAAAAAGTAGGAAGTATTTTGTCCATTTTACACTTTCCTGCTAACTACATCCACCTTAGAAAAGCACTGAAAGCCATGTAATGCTACAGAAGAAGTGGTCTATCAGCTGTCTTTTTAGCAAATGTGGGAGAAGGAAAAGATACAGATAAAGTTAATTCCATATAATAGATAATTAAGTAAAAGGTATGTAATTTTCTTTGACACACTAGAGAAAATAGAGGATGAAGGAAAAGAACTAAAATGACTTGTACATATTTTCAAGGCAATGGTTTCAATTTTTTTCTTTGTATCCTAAGTTCACTTATAGATATTTTTTCTTACTGTTTCCTCTAATAGAATTCAAATCAACAAAGTTGTATGCTAGTAATAAGATCAGCCTACTGCTTTCTATACAATTGTTTAAATTTGCTCTTAGCATCTTATTTCAAATTGTATTTCAAATTGTATTTCAAATGTCTGTCCAGAAATGTCCTGTGTATGTAAACTGCATGCAGGTGTCAAAGTCAATTTTTGCATCTAGATTCTAAAAAGCTTCATGTGAACTGTTTCCTACTTTAATTCCCATTGTTCTCAGGCCAGACACCAATTTTGGCTGATGTTAAAATATAGCTAAGATTTTATTCAGTTTACACAGGTGTAGATGTCTAATACTGTTTTAAAGGCACTAGGACCATTTTCAAGATATTTGCAAGGGGATGATATATGTGGCACTGGATATGGAGAAGGCTGGATGTGACATACATTTAGGCAAGTCACATACCACTATGCACCCACTCTTTGGCAAATAAAATGAGGTAGGCTCCATCAGCCAGGCTGCCAGCTACAGTAGGACTTTAGACATGTCACACAGGCATATGAATTAAGTGGATCACAGAACTGAAATGTCTTAAACAAAATCCCAAACTAAATTGACTTCATTTGTGTATTCATATAACATATATTACAATGCCCTGGCTGATATGAAAGTTAAGAGACATACCTCTGTACTTAGTGCTATGTCGTGAGACTGAAATGTTAAAATATTAAACTTAATGAAGAGCCTATAATGTAAGAATGTGATGCGATTGAATTAATTGACAATCTAAGTTCTTCTGAAATGCAAATC